CAGATGGATTGCCAGAAAGAATAAGCAACAAGGAACTCTGGGAACGAACCGACCAAGAAACCATCACCCAACAAATATGTAGAAGGAAGTGGAGATGGATTGGCCATGCACTGAGAAGGCCGACTGAGGATATCACGCGTCAGGCCAGGTCCTCGAGTGGAATCCCCATGGGAAGCGACGAGTTGGACGTCCGTGGTGAGGGTGACATGGAGGAGGTCGTGCGAGGAGGAAATGAGAGGTTGTGGGCTGTCGTGGGACCAGGTTCAAAAGATCTCAGAGAACAGAGGTCACTGGAGACGTGCTACTGAAGCCCTATGTTCCACTAGGAACCCAAGGGACTAATAATAATAAAAATAATAATAATGACTAGTGGTCTATTTGTGCCCCCATTGTAATGTAATTTGCTGATTGGTTAACTTTTACTATGCGAATTTCTCCGATTGTGGACCAGGTTATTTTTGATGTGTATACTTATTCACGTGTTTTGGATTGATTCATTGTTATTATATTATATTCTCGGAGTAATGCACTCTGCTATCTGCCAGCTTGTGTCTTCTGTCTATTCGCCTCGGGGTTGCAGTCAGTGACTCTTGCGTACCAAGTTAGCTGTCAGCTAAGCGCGTGTATTGTATTCGTTTCGGAATATATACATATACCATTAGCGCTTCGAAAGCATAACACGGCCTAACGTTTTGTCAACCTAAATTCGGTTCAGATGACATTGCATGATGGAGCAGACGGTGACGAATGGTCATCTTTCCCTGACCGTCACTAGAGACGGTGGAAAGCAACATGACTTATCTGTATCTACAGCTGAGTTGAAGTCAGAGAGTCCTTCCCTTTCTATGTTCGAAATCTAGCCTGGTCAAAACAAATGGTCTCACGTCTTTGAAAAGCCCTGGTATGACCGAGAGCTAGATGGTCTTGGATACCTCATAATGCAGCGGATTCATACCCTCTTCCAAGGAAGCCCTGCCATGTATCTTTATGTGGCGTGGGCACAAAAGTGAGAAAGAGAAGAGAAATATCCGGCCATGTTACCTGACCGATGGACACGCAGAGTTCACCCAAGGAGTTGGTAAACTCTGATTCCAAACCGGTAGTACACATGGGTTCGATGATTCAGAGCACATGAATGGCGTAGAAGTCTACTTTGTTCATCAGCAGCCAAGGGAATGCAGCACCCTATTTCGCTTCATTGCATTATGGATCACATTTCAAGTCAAAAGCTCATAGAGTGTCCCGGTAAGATCACCACCCACTTGGATTTTTGCATTCGGGTAGTATCACAGCCCAAATACAATCTATGAATCAAATCTAACAATGAAGAGTAAAAAGCACCCGCCAAATATTCCTGCAAGAGGTTGGATTCACTGTGCAGCGGACTTTCCACTCAATTATTCCGTTTAATATCTTTATGCTGTCGTTGTTTTAACATCCGAACTACATCATCATCTATTAACATAGGGTCAGGCATTACTGCGTAACGGCCCAAGTTGCCACACCTCATATCAGTACATCAAGTAAAAAAGAAGTGAAGTGGAACATGAAGAAAAGAAAATTTAGTCAAAGAAATAAAAAGTACTAAAAGAGAGAAACGAAGAATGAAAAAATAGTGAGATTCGGTATAGCGTCGTTAAAATGAGGATAATGCGTGTATACATTTGCACCACTGATATCGGTCCTGAGCCATATCACCTAGAGTCTCCAACCACTGGTGCCTCTTGTCCCACGGACCCCAACCACCCAGTCTGCATCCCCACACATAGCTCAAATCAACAGTCAAAGACCTATTTTCGTCTGGCCACCTCGGGCCTTTTTCCAGCCTAAACCTACTTCGGCCAACATTGCGTGAAGAGGCAATCGGTGACTAGGCATACGTAATACGTGTACCAAATATCTCGGTCGACGAAGGTTCACAACCGTGTCGACTGACTTACCTCTTCTCCATAAAACTCTACACTTGACTTTGTGTTACTCAAGTAGTGACACCACGGAATACGGTCTGTACTACGAAGGCAACGGTGGTCAAACACCTGAAGCCTTCTTATGTCTTCCACCTTCAATGGTCATGTTTCACAGCCATACAGTAGAACACAGCGGACTGCTGTGTAGTACATGCGACCCTTAATAGGCAAACGGATATCACGGCGTCATAGATGGCGTAAGGATGGTTATGTGTGTACCGACCACATGTTTTTCTACACCTGGTTCTAGAACACACTGGCACCTGACATCAGCTGAATTTTGACCTGAGGGCGACATTCAGCTGAATTAGGGAAGAGGTCTTCTGGCATAGTCTATCAATAAAAGGATTTCCGTGTTGAGGGCTGTGTGCTCGAACACCTGTGGGCGTGTTAGGTTTGGACCCGGGTTGCCGTATCAGGTGAGTTGTGTACGTCGAGTGGATGGTTATCCGTCATGGATATCCACTCTCTTCATTCTTATTTTTTTATTTCATGGACCTGCTTATGAAGACCTGCATTACTGTGGTTTGCTTTGCCACAGATGAGTCTTTAGTAAACCTAGGGCCCGCTGATGACACACTCCTGTTAGGCGAGTACGTTGACAAGATGCAGAGTCTCCTGGATACTTTGAGTGGCGATTTAAGAATTTTTTGAATACTTTTCACACCAATCGCATACAGTTAATTTATTCAGGATGCGTCACTGTTGGTGCTTTGTATTACAGCTGGAGTTGAAGTGGTTGAGCGTGTCAATCATTCCGCTTACTTGAGAAGCCGGGTAAATCAATTAGGGTCAATGACCGACGAAATCTCTGCGCAGACATAATAAGCTCGATTGGCTTTTGCTAACTGACGTCATCCGTGGCGCGGCGTGATACTTGTTTGCCTATCACTGATTGAGTGCATTATGGTTCAGTTTACTTTTTTACTATGTGACTGTGAAGGATCGCCACTCAAGGTAGAAGATATGAGAAAGCTTCATGTTTTTAGCTACTGTCGCCTTCGTAGAAGATTTCGTGTGTAACGTAGGAGTCAGGAGTAGAGTTTTAGACAAAAGAGGTAAACCAGTTGATTGGGTTATGAATCCTCAGCGATTGTAGTGGCCGTGACATGTGTTACGCATATCTAGTCACCACAAACAGTGCAATTTTAGCTAAAGTGTAACTATACTGGTGAAAAATTAAACTCAATCAGACTAAAACTTGAGATCTATCGACGAAGAACTTCACTGTACTTGTGAGCTGTGCAAGAAAATGCAGGTTTTCTGGTTAGGGTCTACGTATTTTCATATTTTCACCTTGATGCCTCCTATCTTGATGTGACGGTATGATATGTCACGACTTGGATCGCAATGCTGCGCCCCGCTTCTGACTAACGTAAATATATACCACCGACTGGCTTAACAGATCTCTTCATTGAGTGTTACACGGTTACTAAATGATGGCACAACTGAAATAGAATAAGGTTGAAAAAAGATGTGTTGTAGAACGGAGACTTGATATCAATCTGCTTGACAGAGGCAATCTAGGTGGCAGGATTAATGTTTTGAGATCCCTAGTGGTATAGGCCAAGATAATGCAGACCATCATCTTCGAAACTTTGAATATTTTCTTAAACTTTATTCAGTTATTCTTCCTCCTTATATTATGTTTATTTTTAACATCATTTTATTCCTGTTCACTTCCTTTTGGTATTAACGTTGTGAAGTATGGCAACTTAAATTAATGCACTTCTGTGCAAGGTTCTGCATTTCTCTGTCTGTGTGAATGTTTGTATTCATCGGGGCAGAAATTCATGCATAGTGCTTCCTGATGTCTAATAACTTTCAATAAGCAATTATAGTATATAGTCCCTTGTTGTATGGAAGTCATGTAATTCTCTAGGATTTTAGTCTGTCGCTTGAGAACGTGGCATCAAACTTGAGTTAGTTGGAATCCATACCTCTTATATCTAACTTACTACCATCTGTAGCTCTCCACACGACGAAACATAATATATATCTATTCATAATAAGCTCTACCAAATATTTCCAGATAGTGAGATGTAGCAGTGAAATTACAGTTTACTAGTGAGGTAAGCAAACGAGAATAGGATTCCACAAATTTATTTGCTGATTCAGCTTTCAATTCAATTATCTTGACTTCTGTACTGATGATTATTAATTATCGACTAAACTTTATCATAATTACAGAAGGGTCATTTTATATATGCCAATTTACACCACCTATAACATTGTTGAGATATCTAATTACATAACAAACTGCAAATGTACTGCTCAGAACTTCTCTGTACGCGTATTCACAGTTGTGGATGGTAGTTGCGGATAAATTATGTAGGCTCCCATGGTTTTATCATGAATATCTTCATAGCATTCTTCACGTATGACAAAACCTTAACGCTATAAGTCTTATGGTTGGGTATATTGTTCTAGGCATGAGACATGATTTTCTCAATAAGGATGTGAATCTGCACTCATCGAGCTGACTGGGATATATATGACTCATGATAATCCACAGTCTAACCTGCAGTGTTAGCTGCAGTAGAAGTAGGTTGAACAAAGTTTGTGTGAGCAGGTCAAGATATAGCACCAGTAGATGAAGTTTCGTACTGTTTGTTTATGTCGCAGAAAGTTTGTGATGCAAGTTTTTAGAGAGGTCGGAACGAATTGTTAGGAATCCGATGTCCACAACAGTACAGATACATTTTCATCTTGCCGTGCGGTGTTTTTTCAATATCTTATCCTAAACGCGTTTGTTCTCCCATACAAATATCTCATTCGCCCATTTTGATATTTTTTCCTGTATACCGTGTAACTACTTAAATCATCGGATTTTCATGAGATTTTCTTAGCTGCTGTGCCCATCTGTCGGTTTTTAGTGAGTGAATAAGTGACAAAGTTATTCTGAACTATACTTGCCATAAGCCAAACACCAGACTTCATGTTTCAACATTACTTATGTGCAAAGTGGCTACTATTTCTTCGTTATATGCGTCTTTTTGTTGCCTCAGCAATATATTCCTCACTGCGTTTTAGTTCTCGTCAAGAATCAGTCGGTGGTTATACTACCGTGGTTACAACTGATCGTCCTCAACTTACCAATGGGTCTTATTCACATGTACCAGCAAGTAGCTCTAGTCTTCCGAGAGTACACGCAAATCAACATGAAGGGGCTTTTTTGGTCGGCACTCATAGCATCTCTGTTTGGATCGAATAAGTTTTCGTCCAACAAGAATACTGGTGCATCAGCTGACTCTTCTTCTAGACCTCAAGATATAGTATTGCCAGACAGACAACGCCCAGTGAGTGATTGGACAGAAGTTGATGGTCTATGGGGACCAAACAACTTGCCTACTTCTTCATCGTTGACAAATTCTGACAATAACTCACGGAACAACCAGATCAATGGGTCACTACCACCAGGTTGGGGTGAGTAAACCACTTTGTATAGATCAAGTTTTCTAAAACTCTGACTGTGTAATCGCAGAATTAATCAGTAAGTTTTTCGTTTTGTTTATGCACTTTATTTAAGGAGTGAGAAACATTAGATTTCAATGGAATACGAAGGGTGGTCAGTGTTTCCAGGACCTGAATAAAATCTGGTCTAATACACTTGGATCAGTTCTTCATGTGATTTGGATATTCTGAAATGTGTGATAGCACTCGACATTATTGTCAGTAGACTGATACGCCAGTGGTTACAACACATTACATAGACCCTCTTTAAGAATGGATATGACAGTGGCTTTCTTCCACAGTGATGGGACACTCTTAGTCTGTCGTACCATTTGTAAGAGCAAAGTTGGTACCCTGACTACAGTGTCATACCCAGCCTTCATAAGCACCGTAGTCAATTTTTCTTCAGTACATAGAGTTCTTTACGAACCTGAACTTTTTGGGCCTGATCAATGAAAACTGACCATGAAGCACAAGATAATGAATCCTATGTTGTTTAAGCAATGGGCCGATTGAATCGCTTTTCGAAGTGCTTTACGAAGCATCACCAACGTCTAGAGACCATCTCATTGATATCAGTCCTCTTTGTGTTGGTGGCTCGGATAAGCTGGAACACCTTTTGACTATCTCCAGATACAGCTGCCGCTTGCATCTCATTCATGTATACTGAGGCCTTCTAGTCTTTGCGCAAATGTATTTTGATCTATCGCATTGAAGACTTGTGTATGACGAAAATTAAAATGCACCCTGCAACCATGTATATGCCCGTGCAATAGGCGATGAGCGATACCTGTTGTGTGGTGAATAACGGTACTACTTGGCTACTCAGACTTCGGGGTTTGAGTTCCTAACCCATCGATGGGAAGTCAAGTGCTCATATTAAAGAGCCGCATATGCATCTTCGTATACCATTGCACTGGCTGTCAATTGGGATAGACTAAGAAGCATCAATATGCTTGTAGCCAGTCAGTATTTAAGGTTGCGGCATTATTCAAAGCCAGAAGCAGCTTTACTCATCATTCGTATGACGTCATGTAGATGCGGGCATTGGACATCTATACTTTCTGGAGGTTCGAAAACCACCATTGAATCTAGCTCGGTTTAGCCTTCAGCTACAGTAACAGAAGCAAGCAATTCGTTTACGTCGATCTGTTTAGGATGATATTTTTGATGGTGACCGAAACGCGAGATGAACTAAGCACATTAAAGCGTGATCAGCGTCCGGAAATGGTCTCTAGTAGGAGCAGCATTCCTGAATACATTCATACCAACAGTAGATGATTGCATCATGATTTGGTTAAGTGAAAACTTGATTGGCATAAGAAGGATTCCAAGCACCACAACAGTGATAACTGTGCTGGTTAGAAACGGGATTGAATCTGTGTGAAACTTCAAAAGGTAATCCCTATTAGCTGAAACACTTCACATGTGCTTTTAAAGTATCAATCTAGCACCAGGACGTATGTCAAGCGTACGTGGTGGAGTTTGTCACTTAATAGATGGTCGAGCTCACCCTTGCTGCAGTCAGTCAGGGCATAGGCACAGATAACGATGAGACATTGTTTAACTTATCATTTCTCATTCTAATGGAACCTTCTAGCCTAACAGCACACGAACGCCTGTTGGGGAGGATATCCAGTCGACTAATACACCTTCAGCTGTTGCATTTAGTGCGACACAAACACCAACAAAACCACCTGCTGATGCTAGAAGGACCCCTTATAAGTGGGAAATAAATGCACTTTTTGAGCTAACAGATGCAGGAGTCATTCGAGGCACTTCACTAAGATCTTGTGAGACATCATACACCATTACTGAGGATTTGCAGAGTGGTCTATTGTTTAATTCTAAGTATCCAGCCTGAAAGGTGGTTGTATTTTCAGGATGGTTGGATCAGATATTGCACCATTAGAATTTCAATCACTGACAGGCAGTTGACTGAAACAAGAGTGGAAATGAAGATGAATTTGGAAATGATAGCGGTAAAATGGTATAGTTCAAATGGAAAAGTAACTATTTTTCAGTGGAACGCAATGGCTGAATTTGATTTTGTAATACTGACTTCAATGCTTGCAGGAAAGTTTTGGCGATACTTTTGAATCTTCTGTTTTGGTGTAATTTAATTACTTATATGTGGGCTGTGAAGCGATTCAGACGCTCAGAGTGAACCGGATCGTTCGTTATCTTAACGGGATGCAACACTAGTCTGATCCACAAGGTATCGCAGCAACATGAGGTCGAGTGAGTGGGACTTTCCTGATAGAGGCTAGGATAGCATGGTTGACTGAGAGCATTTCGAGAGGATGACCGGAATCACTCCATAGTATTTTCAAGTGAACGGGGGGGGAAAGGTGGAAATGTGTACCTTTCAGAATCCGAATCACAAGACAGTGCAGTGCAACGTGTATGGTAAGTGAATTCTCACTGTCAATATTTACGCGCAATTATGCTATGTAAAGGACTACCTAACAAGAAAAAATGTTAGCCAACGAACTCTAAACCAGTGACGACATGTTATTCAGTATATCAAATAATCTGAATGTATCATATTCACCGATCAGGAATTATTCGTCATGCAAATCAGTCAGTACCACCAAAATACATATAATAAAGCAAATTATGAGTAATCATCGAGAATTCATCAGGAACATTGGTCCAAGACATCACTTGCGAAAAACGAGTATTGAATTATTATAAATTGACTGTCTCCTCGAATACAAAGTGTCCTAGATAACTAAAATTCCATAATTCAACCTCGATAACATTCTATGGTGCAATAGAATATGCAGACAACAAATTACAAGATTAAGTGACGACTCAAATTCCACTGGTTATGATTTTAGTTGAGAAGGAGTCTATGTCGTAACATGATTGAAACCAGTGATGTCTTGACTACGCTTAAATCGAGATGCAGACTGGTAAGGGAAAGCATCAAACACCAAGTGTTAGATGCAACGGTTATGCGGATGAGAGATAAGCAATTCTCCTAATTTCATCACAAACAAGAAGTCTATCACTCACTGATGTCTGAGTGAATGGGGGAGAATATTCTCCGTGCTGGTGTTTGTTAATGGTCGACTTCGTTTCACAAACTAGACTGCCAGAGTAGCAAACCAACCATTTTTTTCCACAAGTTTCTGAACAACATCTCTACAGCGATTAGTATTTCTCATATCCGACTCCGATAGTTCCCATAACACCTCTAAGGGGTTTCGATTCACTGACTAATAAAAGTATTAGTTTTATCGTGAACTCATCAAGTGAGTATTTTATCTTACCAGAAGGCAAGGGTTCTAAATGATAGTAAGTAGCTCAAAGGACAATTAATATAAAGGCGTGATTCTCGGTTTTGTTCCTTTCTGGGACTTATCGAGAAAGCATATTCGTCAGTTTGATAGAACTGAGCCGTAATCTTCTAGTACTGCATTTAGAAACGTGACGGGTGGGCTATCCCTACTGCGATTGACCTCGTGGATGACAGTTGCATAATTTGACTGGTTGTGTGAATCGTATTGCTTCACGAAAACCAGTCTTTTAATTTGGTTGCCATCATATTGGACACTTGGTCGAATGAATTTATCGGTACTTAGAACTCAACAACATAATAATATCTTTGCTCCTTGAACAAGACAAACGTTTTACGTCAACATGAATAATCATAGAATATTTAGCATGAATTCATTATGGTCGTGGTAAAGTGCGAAGCCGAGAAATTCACGTATCATGTGAAGTAGTTCAGCTGACCTACTGGAAAAGTGCTACGACACTGACATTAGGACAAAACACCTCACATAGTAGAAATAATAGGCAATAAATCTTTGTGGAAGGTGGTTCTCGTTTTTACTCAGTCACTAGAAATCCAACTTAAGGACGCTGCATAAATTTGTCTTGAGGCTTATACTTCCCAATGAGTGGAAGTAAACATCAGAGCAATGAAAGTGGCCAGCCTACATGGTGAGTGCAGTAACAAAATACTTGTACCAGATATCGCACTGAAGGACAATTTTACGGAAGCAACTGTCTGGTGACTCTAAACACTGTAGACAGACCAGGATTTTAGTCGGTGATGAGCAGCTGAGTGGAAGGAAGATGAATTTGAAAATGAAGACCAAAATATAGTATTTATTGTTCATGTGTTATGATAGGGACATAAATACAAATGGAGAGTGGGCAGAAATTTCGTTGCATGGTTAATTTCTTCTTGCAGATTGATTGAAAGCTTGGTAGTCTTCATTGTGAATGGCGACTCATAAATTGTGTATGGGCTGTGATACTGCTCTGTCACTTGGACCCAAGCAGCTGGTTTCCTTAAGCCAACCACTCTTCCATGCCTCTGATGAAAACTGATTCATAGGTCAGTAGAGCAATGTGAGTTATGGATGCCTGTGGGTGCTGGCGATGATGTCATTTTTGCTGTTTGATTTTATACTGCTCGTAATGACGTAATGGCGATTGAAATAACTGCTTTAATTGCTTAGCATCACACAATCACTCTGCTTCAGTGTATTTTCTTTGACATACTTCAAAAATTCAATCTCCGTAGGCATTTACAGAATTGAAATATTCATTTCCTGTCATACTTAAAGGCCGATTATTAAAGGTGATATTTTTTATATTCTACATTCCTTATTGTAGAAAGACGTTTTGATGCATCAAGTCAAAAATACTATTTTGTCAATCATAAGTGCAAAATCACTCAGTGGGAAGATCCACGTGAACGGGGAATGGATGAAACACAACCTCTCCCACCTGGTTGGGAAAAACGTTACACAGCTCAGGGTCAGAGATTTTTCATTGATCACAATACTCATACCACAACCCTAGTTGACCCACGTACTGGACAGCATGCCGGGTAGGTTAGATTATGTGAAGTCATTTTGAACACCAGGTTATGTATAGTACAAGGACTTATGATACTACATGACTGCTCAGACGTTGGTTAGTAGAGGTGGATTCGAATCCATCACCCATTGGTTGGGAGTGGAACGCCTCCCTGCCGAAAGCTGTGCTACCTTGATACGGTGGTCGCATATTACGATGACAAAACCAGCTATGCCGGTGAAACACTTGTTTGCTTTGAGGTTCTGTTATACTAGAAAGGCTTGTCGGACAATTGTAAGACAAAACCAATTGCCGTTATAATGTAAATTGCTACGCCATGATAGAGGTCTGAGGGCAAAGTCGAACGGCTAGCTGGACGGGACTATGACAATAGTAGGATGTTTCCCGTAGATGACCAGAAGCCCATGTTTTGTTGCCTTCCCAATAGGAATATGGGGGTAGGATTAGAAAAAGTTGACTTCGAAAACAATACACTCTTTTCTACCAAGCTCCTTATATCCACTCAGTCATTCGGCTTGACTTCAGTTGCGTACTATCAGTGTTATCTGCTGAAGGTCTTGTTCTCACTCTATTCAAATTTTTTAAGGGAAAAAACTGTATGAAATTTAGAGTTACCTCTTTTGCAGTTGTCTGTTCAAAAACGTAATGTCAAGGTGTATGAGTTTTCGTTATAATACCAACCTACACGTGCTGTACTTTACTATAATACTGTAGCATACAAGAAAAGCACCTCAGAAACACTATGTAGGATTCTCGATAACGCTGGGATTAGAGTGGCATTCTAACCTATTAACTCACTTAGAAGTAAGTTTTGTAGGTTGAAAGATCCTATTGATCCAATTAAGCAGAATAACTTAGTTTACCAGATCCCTTGCAGCAATTGTGAGGTCAAATACATAGATCAAAGTAGTCGCCCAGTCAGGGTCAATTAAGCTATCCGAGCACAAAAACCTTGCTTGATCAAAATTGATAGATCCTAGTAAGGTAAAAAGCTCGGTTATAGGTTTGCATGCGACTACACACAATCACATAATAGGTTGGGATGGGGTAAAAATCCTTAAAACTAACATAGCAGGGTGGAGAGAGAAATTAATGACTGAATCTTTGTCTATCGAATCAACACTTAATACATGCAACAGGAATGACTCAGCATCTGTTGCGGATATACGGAAAATCTTACTGCACGTATCACGAAGGGGTCGAGGGAATTAGGACTGTATAAAGGATGTCCTCAAAGTTGTGTAGTTGTTTTAATATGGCTATGTCCGAAGCGCATTCCAGTAAACAATACTGTTACGCTGTGTGATAAATCAGTAGAGTGGGATTCCATTCTACCACAGCGCACAAGTTTTACTCTTATATTGATCTTTCTAATTGTCTAAACATCTTACACTTTTCATCCGATAGTATTCAGTATATGACATCTTTTGTAAGGAGGAACAGTGAGTACTATTATCTTAGTCTTTGTCATAAACAAACTACCGCGCACAGTGAGAGATGAACAAAACTCTTCACTTCTATGAAACAGACTAATCAATACGAATGTATCAACAACCGGAATACTCGATGACCGACTGACAAGATATTGAGAATTCTTTTTTTCCTCTTCATTTATACAAGTACGCTTCTGATTAGCTAACTGTGTACACTTGAACAGCATAAAATTGTGTATGGATTCAAATGGCCTTCGGAAATAGATTTCGTTCATCAGCCATAATCTGAACTAAACGTAAATTGATGGTCTTTTCATGATCTTAATTAATCAACAAACTATGTAGCTGATTGTTAAATCAGTCTTTCGACCAAAAGTTCATTATATGTAAATATGCCATTTGTCTTACTGAAGCAAGAAGCAATTATGTCTTAGTAAGAATGCAGTGTCGAGAAACTCAAATTGATTATTAATATTATTTGTCCCTTGGGTTCCTAGTGGAACATAGAGCTTCAGTAGCACGTCTCCATTCCACTTTGTTCGCTGCAATCTTTTGAACCTGGCTCCACGACTGCCCAGAAGCTTCATTTCTTCCTCACACGATCTCCTCCATGTCACCCTCGCCTCGGACGCCCAACTCGCCGTTTCCCATCTGGGTTCCACTCGAGTGCCTGATGCATGATGTCCCCGAATGGTCTTCTCAGTGTATGGCCAATCCTTCTCCACTTCCTTCTGCATATTTGTTTAGCGATAGGTCGTTGGTTGGTTCGAGTTCCTTGTTGCTTATTCTTATGATTCTGGTCATCTGAGCTTCAGTAACGAGCCAGCGTAGGCAGTTGTTGATGAATATCTGTAGTTTGTTGGAAATGCTTTCGTAACGCGCCAAGTCTCTGAGCCATAAAGAAGCACTGACTTGACTGGGTTGGTGTTGAAAATCCGGATCTTGTTCATGCTTTATGCTGAGTGCAGTGCAGTGCAGTAGATCTCCACACCGATTTCAGGTTAGTGGAAGGCCTGTCTTGTTGTCCTTCCGATCCTGGCTTTGACGTCCTCATCTGTGCCGCTGCCGTCACCTGTAGTTAGGACGATGCTGCCTAGGTAGGTAGGTAGGTAGGTGAAAGAGACTACTTCCTTTATATTCCTCACGTTGATGGTGATTGGAGCTTGTTGTTGTTATTGTTGTTGTTGTGGTGGTGGTGGTGTGGATTTTGTTGGGTATCTTCATCATCTCTGTCTTCTTTACGTTCACCTGAAGGAAGTCACATCTTCCTTCGCTGCCTCGCCTCTCCTGTCAACTTGTTGGTTTTCGCCTGCACATCTTCGAGTTTGTGCCACAAGATATTAGACGTAAATCATCATTGTTGGCGAAGTCCAAATCCTCTCCTGGGGTCTTTCCATTGGTCCAATCAGCGTATGCCCCTCTTCTCGCTCCTCACGGTTTGCTGCATGATCCAGTCGATCACAGTCAAGAAGATCATCGATGATGGATAGTAGAAAACCTTGTCTCACTCCTCTCTTCACTTCAAAGGCATCACTGAGCTCAACTTTCTACTGTGGATCACTTGGCATGTATCGTCGTCATATACTTATTGAATGAGGCTGATAAAGGTTTGTGGTACTCCGTAGTGTTGAAGCAGCTGCCTGCCAAATTACTTGTCAGTCGACGCTGTCGAAGGCCATTTCAAAGTCGATGAAGTTAAGGTGGAGAGTTGACTGCAGTTGTATACTCTGTTCTATGATGATGCGAAGCGTAGCGTCGTGTTGCGTTGGAATTTGATCGCGCATGAATTTTGCTTCCTGAATCCAGTCAGGCATCCAGCTAGAATGTTGCGGTCGTAATTTTGAATGCAGAGCATTGTTTAGTCTCTCCAGTATGATGCGAGTTAATATTTGCTTGCTTGATAAAATAGCTAAATTTCTTGAGTAGTATTGTAGATATTTCTGTTGTTATGTCTTGTAGAGATGAGGTTTGAAGCTATCAAGGTTTGTGAAGCCTGAAATAATCAAAGTGAATAAAGTCAGACATTTCATTTATGCACATTACCATTGAGCCATTGGGTCGGTAACATCCTGGCCACAGAATCTGAAGGTACTGGGTTCGATTTATGGCAGGGTCATGGGTGCTCATTGCTAAGGAGTCCCATACTAGAATGAAGCATTTGTTCAGTACTGCTAGGTTTCCAGTGTTTCTCCTGCTATCATTCCATGCTGAATATCAACCTCAAATCAATAAATAAATCCCCACAAACCTCTAAATTGTTAATAACTTTCTGACTTTATTTTTATGTAAATGTCTTGTCCTCTTTTGTTTTAGTTTTCTAAATTATATTTCTATATCTTACTTCCAGTTCATTGGGCAGTATGGGAGTACCATTGCAATATGAAAGAAATTTTCGGTCTAAATTGAATTATTTCCGTGCTTGTTGTACAAATGCTATGCTGAGTGGTCAGACAAAGCTTCTTATATCAAGGGATAATTTATTAGAAGATTCCTTTCAGCTGGTATGTTGTATAGAATAATCACCATTAAGGCTGCCACTAGTAAGAATAATTATTCTTTTCATTAATAAGTCCTCTAGCCGCTTCTGTAGTGGATATTTCGATTGTACTGCCAGAGAGATCAGACATAACTATTATTAATGACTGCATCAAACAAAAAATATTTTGCAGAATGTTAGACTGGATAACTTTTTGTATTTAGGTGTAACTGGAAGAAACAGTTGTTAGATGATTAAAGTCTGTCATGGGCTCAAATCACACTGCACCTACTGGATATGTGATGTGTTTCCTATCCCAGTCAGAGTACGCTTATGTTTATGTGTTAGCTTAATTAAATGCCTACTGCTTTCACCATCACATGGGTATGATGGACAGAAAACGACTTTCGGAAATTGGTTGTAAGGTTATTCGACGGTTAACTGGAGAAGAACAACCTCGAGAAAGCCGGGTGGTAGGTTGCAGAACACAAATCTCTCGGCGTCCAACACTTGTCATATTTCCTAGCTCTTAACAATATCAGTATAGTATCCGAAAGTACCGAGCGATTATAATGCCAATAAAGGCTCTCTACTTAAATTCATGTGGCCAGATAAGGAAGGGCTTGCGAAGAATTGTTATGTGAAGTAACGAGAAATTGTGGTGTCCACAAAGGATATCCACTGTCATTACCATTATTGAACTTTATATTACAGATATAGTGACTGACCAAATCAACACATAATCTCGCACACCAGCGCATCGTCTTAAGTGTTGCCACACTTCACAAAAGTATACAAAAAACATGTGGATAGAGAAGGAGTGATATCGAAGTAGACAAAGTTGTGTGACAGTAAACAATTCGAAGATAAGGGTTAGTGCAAATATTCAAACTTTAGATGTCAACGAGTAAATACATCTGATTCCTTTCGTCTTGAGGACCCCAACCAGGCAGTCTACATCGCCCCCACACGTCTCAAACCAACATTAAGAGACTTCATTGATTGGTGCCAGGTTTCGGTCTTGGTCAGATTTCTGCTCAATGCGTCCAGAAGACCTGCATTTTTCCAGCGTCTTCACCTAGCAGAATAATGTCTTTTGCTTACTCCAAATCAAAAAGATGACCTCTAGGAAATAGGTAAATCTCTGAGCTTATGTCCACTACTGATGTACTGACTGATATATGATCCTTGCACTCTTCAAAGATTAAATTTCTCTGCAAATAGCACCCGATTGACTTGGAGCATGCAGATGAAGTAGTCACGTTAGAAGATGCTAAGAAAACACTGAGTCTTCTCAATATTTCAATCAGAAATCTGTTAAATTTAAAACAATGCTTTTGGACTCTTCGTTAATAAGTGAGCTGGTAGGATGTGTTAACCACATCACTTACTTGGAACGTTGCATCAGTCCTAATGGGCTTGTTGTTTACGGGATCTCAACTCAAATCTATTGGAAGTTTAGCATTTACCATTTGTCATCTCATGCTCTGTAGGCATATCCAATTATATATTAAGGGATGAATATACTGCTAAACCATCCACTTTATTCTACTCTTCAAATGTGTTACATGCTTGTTTAAAGGTAGAAGATATTTTGACACAAATGTCTTGGTAACAATGTTCAACTGTGGTGGAAAAGATGCACTTCCGTACAAGACTTTAAGTTCGTTTATTTGTCTGATTGAGAAAACAGTTTAGAATTAGACATATGGATGAATGATGAAAACCTAAGTAAACCGAAGTAAATAAAATTGACAAAAAGCTTTATGCTTTGAACTGCATTTTGTATATGAGTGCATAACAGTTAAATTGTAAAAATAATACGAAACACTTGTGATTCTGCCAAGTTCTCAGCTGATGAAATCTAAAACTGTACATGCGGACTTCATGTTTATCCATATTATTAGTTGAAAGCACAAATTCAATAAACTTTTCGCACCAAAAAATGCATAACATTTGGATTACTTTTATCAAAATAAATTAAAAATCGATCATCTAAAATCTTATGGAAAATCTAGGATCCACTAGTCTGAACCTCGACTTTTGTATTTTTCTAGTGAACCCGAAAAGTAGCTGCGTATTGAAGTTTGAAGAGTGTAAGAAGCTTACTGTAAACTATTTTTAGGTATCAACTAAGACTAGTTGCGTTTCTTGAGGTTACTTTTTAAAAAATCCTGTAGGTCCTATGTTCCACACCTACCTGGGTAATGGGTGCGTACTGCTGAGTCCAGTTCTAGGACGAAACAGCCTTCCAATCCTCTCAAGTTTCCAATGGTTGTCCAGTTGATATCAGTACGTGATGAATACCAATAGGAAATCAATAAATCCTCATAAACCTCCAAACTGCAGTAAAATCCATTAACTTGTAGCAAAATGGTATATCTAGGTTGAGCGTGCATAAGAAGTTCAGATAGTACAGGCAGAAAATCAACTTCGCATTTCGTTCATTTTTGTTGGTGGTGAGTGAAACGAGATCAGTAACTGTAAAATGGAGAACTAGGCAATGTTTATTAGAGTGCATAGTTGCGTATATCTTGTACCGTATAATCAGCTGCTAAAGAATCCTGAGTTCGTAGCTTTTTCGAAATCACCTCTAAATATTGGATTAGCGTCAGTCAACAGACTTATATATTTCATGTTCGTAAAATGAATGTTACTGTATCGAATTGATTTGCTCCTAAAATCCCCATCGACTGCCGCTACCTTAATCTGGTGGTCCAACTTGCATAACACAATGACACAACCAGCTATGCTGGCGGGACACTTATTCCCTCGAGGTCTGAACATACCAGCAACTTCAGTTAAATAGTGGTAAGACAAACAGCGGTAATTTTTGTGGTATAAATTGTTACACGGTGATAGGGGCCCGAAGGAAAAGTCAAACTCCCAACTGGACAAGAATGTGACAACGGTACAGGGGATGAGCACTCCATGTTGATGCTACCTTCCTCACCGTGTGCTCTTGCTGTGCCGGCGATTTTATGCGTTTTGCACTTGTAAAATCTCAAACTCCAGGAAAGACCATATGTGACCGATCTCATCCAGATATCCCTTGAGCTCTGGGGTCACACATTATTACTAATAATATAATTTCTTTTTCACTTCAAGAAGTGGTAGCCTTTCACGGTATCGGTAGCTAGGATTTGTCAACTGTCGTCACAACTCTTTCAGCACTCAGGTTGCTTCAGAACACGATTAATTTTCAACATCCTTACTCTTTAATCTTCGCGTATATAATCTCTCGGTCAGTATTCCTACATCATCATTAATTTTTCCAACTTTGCAACCCTTAATGACAATATGAGTAGATGGAATAGCATCTTTGGTCGCTTTAAATTGCTCTCTCTTGCTTTCAATATCCACACTCTCCGTCAAATTGGTCAACAGCCTTTGCTGGCTAAAACTCTGTTATCTCGGAACATGGAGATGTGGTGCGTTTGTGGAATACACAAACAAGACCTAAGTGCTGTTATACACTTAACCTCACTCGACCAGTATAATTAATATCAGAAATTCACTCTTCAAGTTTGTAGAGATTCGGTGGGTAGTTGTCAAGATCTTGGAGGTGCAGCAAGTACTAAACCAGTTAGTCAACTGCCAAGCAGGAAACCACTTGACAGTCTCATGTATGGTGTTTGACTGAAAATTACACTGATGACTGAAACGAGTGGTGAAATTCACTGTTGTCTCTTTGTAATGTCCACTTACGCACTCACCAAATGCGAATCGGGTGAAGTGAAGTATGCGTTTTACCGAAATCTGTCTAGCCTCTTACTGGAAGCAAAACTCTGAGATGTGGTTGTTTTGACAGGTGATATGGATGCACAAATGAGTAGGCTGAAGCAGGTAGAAAGACATTCAGATGGCATTAGTGTGAGTATGGAGTTTGGACACTGTGGTAGAGTGTGATCCCATATAGTATTAGTCTATTTGACATAGCATAGAAGGATACAGTATTACTGACTATGTGTTCGATCAAATAGAGCAGTCTAAAGTAGAATTACACTTAGTTGTCACTTATTAAATCGCAGTTTAACGAGTGGGTAACGGCGATCACCTGCAACGAACGTGTTCAGGTTATCACGTATTTTTGTTCAGCTAGAATCAGAGATATACAGAGAAGCATTATATAACTCAACTAAATAGTGGTCACAGGCTATATTGCTGTCAGTTATTGCAGGACAGGATCGGTGGAAGATTGCCGTTCGTTTTGCAGCATCCATTTGGACAATGAGGATGCGTTGGTTTAAGCGTTCATGTATCTGTGCGTTACTGGACGTGGAAAAGCCATATCCGTTGGATCATTCCGAGCTCAGCTCTTCGGTAAGAACACTAAATCTGGTTTCAATGAGCATCTGAAGCTTGATGCCTTCTCGAGTCTGTTGTCAATAAAGTGTTGAAAACACAGCTGAGAAAAATGTCTAGACAGGATCTCAGCAGTTTTTTCTGAAATATTAGGTACACGCGAAGTCATACCTGAAAGCGAAGAGCTTTGTAAAGAACGGAGGCAGCTCAAATTTAGACCGGCACAAGGTATGTTCACTCATGTTAGGCAGGGGTGGCTTGTGAAGGCCAAAGAGATAGAAAAGGCAGTGTTATTAGATAACTATGTGCTGTTATTTATTGAAACTGACCAAGGAAACGGAGGAAAGTTCAATGGTCAATGGAACCATAGGCTAAAAGGATCAGTCTGTGATTCATTTGCTAGGAAAACAAGCAGAAGGATGTATTGAGAACTTAGAAGAACACGTAATTATTGTAGTCTTCGTTTACTTGTAAAACCTTTATTTTCCTAAAACTTTTTCTTAACGCTTTAGGTATCGCAAATGTCTACATCCGGTTTAAGAAGACGATTGTCAATTACCTTTCTCCATGAGGAAGGCCTGGATTATGGTGGTGTAGCCAGGTATGCGAGTTTAACTCAAGTAAAACATTTATACAGTTGTTGGTGTAAAGCGCCAGTATATTTTCAAAGAAAACATTCTAGTTATTAGTCTGTATACTTTGAAAACTAGAATAACAGTTACCTAAAAAAAAACTAGACCAGACTATGGCCTATTCGTAACAACATACGTCTGCTAGGTCCAACGAAATTTGATTGAGTGGTACATGATTTCGAAACAGTCAAACCTTTATGTACTTTGAAATCTCATTGAATACTACTAATCAAAGTGTATTCATTATTTACAAAGGCGACTACTTGTTGAATCGATGAAATTTTTAATGCAATTAATTTAGATGGTTGTTTTCCGAGATTAAAGTACCTCGATCAACCACTTAGCAATGGCGTATTAAAATGGATTTTTTATTGTTATTTATTTATTTAATATAACTCACAATTTTTGTCATATTATCATGATTTGGTGTACGAAGCGATTATCTATTAAATAACACTATCACTGTGTATCATAACAAATTATATAACATTAATATACAACTATATTTTATTTGAGTGCGACATTCTCAATATGCATTTTTGTAAGATCGTTTCAACCAATTATCACAGAAATAGATTGCTGTAGATATTCTAAACCTAACCGATGCCTGCTACCTTGACGTAGTGGTCGGGCTAGTATATCACGATGACCCAATGAGCTAAACTGGTGGAAAGCTTGTTCTCTTGAGGTCCTACTATAGCAGAAAGTTCTGTTGGATAGTGACTAGACAAAAAAAAAACAGTTACCCTTACTCTTAACGTGTTCTTAAACAATGAAATGGTGCATTATGATGGCTTAGATCAGTCATCAGTGGTTAGTGGTGATCCAAAACTTAAGGATGTATGTCCGACCACACCTTTCATAACACTGGCCAATTTTCAAAACATAAAAAACGCTGTACGTGACTAGCCTCTAGCAGATGTCCCCTGGGCTATGTGATCCCGCACTAACCCTTCTTTTTCAGGTACCTCAGGAAGACCTACCTAGAAAGTGTCAACCGCCCTCACAACTTTGTCAGAGCCCAAGTTTCCTCGGACTGCTATCCACCTCCCCATCACTACCTTCTAATCTTCCTTCACGTCTCTCAACTAGCGGTACTACATCATCTTCGATTTCTTCTAGCTCTGCAGCCTTCGACAACCATCTGAATCCATAGAACAGCATCGCTGGTCTCCTTAAAGTACGCTCCAAATTGCACAGAGCCTTCAATGTCCTCACCCTCCGTCAAATCGGCCAACAAGCTTCATTGGCGAAAACTCCGGCAACTCGGACCATAAATGTGTGATGTGTTTGTGAGACATGCGTAAAAGACCGAAGTGCTGTTATTCACTTAACCTCTCCCGGTCAATCTGTTGAATCCTCAAAATTCACTCTTCGAGTTTTTGGAGATTCGATGACCAGTTCTTGCTGTCTTGCAAGTGTAGACATAGCATTAAGCACTAGGTCAGGAAGCTTACTACTAGACTGAATCCCAGTTGACAGTCTCTCCTATACGCTGTCCAGCTGGATGGCACGATGAGAACTGAAAGGACTAGTGAGACTCGCCGTTGTCTCTTTGTAATCTCTGCTTACGCACCCACTGAGTGTAGTTCGGATGAAGTGAAGGACTAGTTCTAACGAGAACTGTCTAGCCTCCTTTCGAAAGCCGAACGTTCATAATATGTGGTTATTGCTGCAGGTGATATCAATGCGCAAATGGGTAGGCTAAGTCAGGCAGAAAGGCACTTAGGCGGCACTTTGGGAATGCCGACTGAAGGAAGAGATGGCCGTGATCGCTTACTACAAGTGTGCTCAGATAACCATTTATTTCTAGCTAGCATAAACTTCAGATATAAAGAAAGGCATTGTCTGACGTAGGGTTGACGGAGCTCAACTCAACGATGGACACAGATAGACTACATTGCTATCAGTCATCTCTGGAGAGGGTTGGTGGGAGACTGGCACTCCTTCTGGGTCACGTGTTTGGACAGCGACCACGTGTTGGTTCGAGGCCGTATATATCTGCGTCTCCATGAAGGTAGAAAAACCTAAGCACCCAGAAGTTTACTATCGCAGGTCGACAGTGAGAGCAGTGAGGTCGGTTTCAGTAAGAAACTGGCTATGAAGTTATTGGAACAGAAAAGTATGATTCATCCAGAAGCTTAGTGCCATCTGCAGTCTGCTGTAAAGACAAGGTTGAAGACCGTAGCCGACTCTTGAAGATTGGTTGAGAGGAGCCAGTGGATGTCAGCAGCTTGTTCCGAACTAATGGATGTATGTGAATGCATCCGTACAGGCTGTGAGTACAATGAGGAGAGAACGCAGCTGAAACGTAAACGTAAACTGACAAAAAGTGTAGGCAACTACTGCTAAGAGTGGTGGGCAGCGAAGGCTAAATAGATGTGGAAGGTAGCTGTGATAGGTGATAGGTGATAGTAGACAATTGTTTAGACTTATTGAGGAGACTGGGGTGGAAAGAGGAACTTTTAGTGAGAGTATAGTGGAGAAGAATGGGTCTGCGTTTCACTGACATGGGAAGGCGATTAAAACCATGGATGGAATACTTCGAGAAGTATTTCAACTATCCTTCAGCTACTATCTGGTTGTCTGCTATCCAGTCGGATCCTGAACTGGGACATTGAGATAGGCCTCGCAACACTTGCAGAAGTCGAGAAAGCGATAGGTCAATTGAAACGAGGGAGTGCAGCAGTTCCAGACGGACTAGTTCATGAGGTATATAAGGATCCTGATAGAGTGATTTAGTCAAGTTAACTGAAGTATAAACTAGTCTATGGGAGTCAATATGATCCCCTCTGACTAATCTCAATCATTGATTATCCCAGTCTCCAAAAACGCTGACAGATCCTTTTGTGATAACCACAGAGGAATAAGCCTGATGAACAGTGTCTAAGATTCTAGGTTGTATAGTCATTGGACATCTTGGTGGATCTCGGGAACAGCAAGCCCGAGAAAGCTAGGCAGGCTTCAGATCTGGTCGTGGATGTATTGACCAAATATTTACACTCTGTCAGGTTCTGGAACACAGGCACGCTTACCGATGCCCGACAGTAGTTGTATTACTCGACCTGAAGGCGGCTTTCGACTTCATCGATGGCGAGGTCTTGTGGCAGTGTCTCTCATTGAAAAGGGCACCGAATAAGTATGCTAACACCTGTGGGCGTGTTAGAGCCTATGGTGAGATAAGTGAATTGTGTACGTCGAGTGGTGTCCGTCAGGGATGCCCACTTTCCCTCTCCGTATTCAATTTTATCATAGGTGTTCTTATAGTGGTCTCCCTCTCGTCATCTGACCACACAGAGATCCACCTGGTCACACGAAAATGTTTGGTAGACCTAGAATACCCAGATGACATAGCCCTGTTAGGTGAAGATGCTGACAAGATGCAGAGACTTCTGTACACCTCAGTGCCACTTACTGCATGGATATGCACAAGGTGGCTGGGTGCGTTTCGTTCGTTCTGTTCAAACCATCCCACGTTACAACAGCTTAGTCAGATGGGTGTCGAAAGTAAAACAATTTTGAATAGACTGAAGTATTATTGAGAAAAAGAGAACAAATTGTAAAATTCCTTATGTTGCTTGGAATTTCGAAGATAATAAACAGTAAACATATCTGGATTATTGTGATTATTTTCGAACCATGCCTTTAAACAGCGATCCCTAACATCACGAAGATGTTATTCACATGGTCTACACATACCGAACTATGTGTTAGTGCTATATCTTAGCCTGGTTATCCAACCTGTTCTTCACCCCTACTTGCAATCAGTGGATTAGTCACTTTCTTGACAATTTATAACATCTTTCCCAGTCACCCATTGACTGAATAACCTTCCTTGCTTAGCATTTAACATTTAATTTCGAAGGCGATTGATACGCCTTCACTATAAATCGGAAATTATCTTCATTCGACAAGATGTTTTATAACATAACCGAACAACCAGTTATGTTCATCTTAATGACTAACAGTGGAATCCAGGACGCGCATTTCCTCCTATTTTGGGACTCGTCAGTAAAGTGTACTTGCACCATAGTGTCTGGTCTTGTTCCCATTGAGATTCGAACCCACTGCCCATCGCTTCAAATGCCAAAGCATCAAACAAACAACCAGTTGATACAGCGTACCCTAATCAATCATTCCAACAACCACTATTAAGAACACTTTCCGGGGACGTATAAGGATTGGCCATGTTCAGTGAATATTAATAAATTCACCTCTTTCATTACAATCTTTAACTGTTAGTCGTAAAATACCATACAGCTTTTTCAACTTCAAGGAGAGTTTGAGGACCAACATCTCATTCAGGCTCAGGCTGGATGTTTGGCAACTGAAGCGTTGCTGAGGGCCAGTTGAACTGTGCTTTAAAGTATTCTGTGACTCATTGGTTAGGGAGTTGACTTTCATTTAGTGGGTCACGGGTTTGAACCCCACTTCACCTACCGAGGTTTGGGTAGCCAGGTAGTATCATTACCCCTCACACAATAGGTGTGGTTCATCTTCTACTGCACAAATATTCACAAGGCTGCTGAGTGCATTTCGATTCGATTCGGTCTCCTAAGTGGAGTCCTCGAGATGATACCAATCATTGGTTGAAGTGTAACAACATGAATCAATGCACTTCTGAGTCAGATTCTACTTTTATCTGTTCGATAGACTGATTGACGGGAAGAGATACATGATTCATAAACTGGTTACTGTCTTCTGGTAACCTGAATTGATTACCGATCCGAGTTATCCAATCTTGAATAAAGTTCAGAAGAGTACGTTCAATCTGAAGTAAAACTAAGAAGCTCATTTTCTTGTAGATTATTTCGGAGTTGTATTTATAAATGCATCATAGTAACCAGCAGCTATATCAAGTTATTGGCTAGAGTATCAGATTTAAATGTTTTTGCCAACAAAAGAGTTGAGGGGAATGGATGGGTTTCATTTACAATAGATGCTATGTTGATGATATTTACATCTCTGTCAGATTTTTCGATTCACTTTCTCTCACAGGTGTACATCAGTAATCGTCTTGCCTTCTTAAAGTGATGATGAACAAAAAATTTCACTTTTTTCTTGTTAATGAGTATTGCCGGGGGAGACTTGTCTAAAATAGTATATTGATGGTGATTTTATGCTCAGATTGTTGTAACTGTAAGCGATTTTGCAGGTAGCTACCATCTGAGCTTATCATTTACTTCTATGTAGCGAATCTGTTCTCGTATATAGTTAAACCCATGCAGATTGTCTAATGATGACATCAGTGTTGAATAGAATGGTTATTTAGGTTATACCAAAGTATGGTAATTCATATATTTTACCGAAACTGGCGAGTACAAGTTCACACCGTTGAATTGATTTCCAACGTTATGTAGTTTCAGGACTCACTTAAGCATTTCTCATCAATATGACTGGTATGATCGCGACTTTTCCCACCTCATTTTCAAATGACAGAATGTGTGTATTTGCATACCTTTACTAACATTTACATAATCTCCTGGCTTTTGTATTTATTTGGAAGGTGTTTCCACTTTCTAAGATAAATTAATCAAGTGTAGCCTATTTTAGCTTGGATCACATATCATCATCTTATAATCCAGAGGATCATTGTGATCAGACACCTAGGCGTCACCCAAGTGCACATTTCCTAACTGAGTTGTGGTTTTATTTTGTTCAGAGAATGGTTCTACCGTCTGTCAAGAGAAATTCTCAATCCAATGTTTGGTTTGTTCGAGTATACTGGAACAGATTATGCCTTACAAGTAAATCCAGCCTCTCATGTCAATCCAAATCATATGGCGTATTTCCGATTTGTTGGACGCTTTATTGGCATGGTAAGCGCATTTTTATGTCATATTTTAAGTTGTTCATTTTCTCTACTTCACTCGGTTTGTAGTCAGTATATGAACTGCAAAAATGTGTGCTAAATATTTTGAGAAAGGTGAGGCTGTGTAATTTGGCCATGATTTGATAGAATTGTACTTATGGATAACAAGCTGACAAGTGCAAGTAAAATGGTAACTTGGATCACGATAGGATTCCAAACCAATGGCTTTCTGATTACCGGCCGTATTCTCTACTAACTGAACTGACAAGGCTAGCTACTAACCAATGTCTTTACTTCAATCCTTAAGGTGTTAGTCTGATTGGCATTTGAATGTATTTATACGCAACTGTTCATTTATTGGTAGACAGAACATCTTAAAGTGGATCACACCTGTAGTACTGGGATAAATGTTTATTTAAAAGTGGATTTTTTTTTAATTGTTCAGTTAAATAAGTATTGTACTAACTCTTTTGCAAACAAACATTTATTTGATTTGTGTGACTAAGTGCGTTGTAATGCTGATTTCTAATACACTGCAAATATTTTAGTGGATGACAACTCATATTGCGTCTCAGTGTCCTTTAGTGAGGTGAAATACACCAGCCTTTGAACCTAAAAAAGATTCTAATGACTGTGACTACTTTTCACTTACATATCCAAACAGTTATATCGCCCTATCTAACTCAAATTACCACCATTACTTCGATACATGGGATTTAAATGTGCCATTACAATCCGATTGGTCAAACTTCAATGACTCTAACTCTGTACCGATGGGACCAAAATAGCCGTGCTTCGGCAGATTGATGTTATTGATACTGGGTGATGAATGAAGGTGAAGTGGAAGACTGACTTGAATTCTGCTTCAAGCTAGGTATCCACTCAACCTTTAGTCATCATCCACTACCAATAACTCTACAAAGGTTTAGTGGTAGTACTTGGTCGAGGATGGTTAGAAACAAATCTCTTATTTAGAATTCGAGCTTGTTAAGATTCAATGAAAACTTGACTTCTCCGATATCTCAAACAACATTGTTCGAAGAAGCATTATGATTCATCTCTTTTAGGATTAAATTAAAGTGGTGGTGACTTCTATGACTGTTGGGCTGTGGACACTACCAGTTCTGACCTCAAATGTAGCATATGTTTCATTTACTGCTCAGTGGATTAAGTTAGTTAACAATCATTCAGGTATCACAAGGCGCTTTTAATAAGATATATCATCGCTTTTTCACTATATTATATTTCATCTTTGTTTCAGGCTCTTTTTCATGGTCGTTGTATTGATGGTGGGCTTACCCTGGCCTTTTACAAACAGATTTTAAAGCGAAAGCTAACATTAGAAGATCTTGGTCACACTGACCATAGTTATTACCAGTCATTGATTTATATTAGGTGAGATCTTATTCTTTTTATTCGTATAAAATGAAAGTACATTTAGACGGCTGTGTATATCTAATTTTCGATGCTTAACCGTATTCACCAGTAATCTTATAAAACATTAAGGTTTCCTCATTGTTTGCGCTGCTGAGTATGACTTGTCTATGCTGAGTATATTCTCTCTCCCTCTGCATCCTGGATTCAAACATACACTGTTATTTGAAGTGCGTCCGACCACCCTTATAGCTAAACTATACGCACAAGTCAGCTAACTGTCAAATATCCATTGTACTCAAAAAGGCATATCAATTAATGAATGAAATAGTGCGGCTACTATCTCATAGCTTGTCAAGTAGAATTTGGATCTACTGTTAACAGTTGGCCCGATAGAATTCCAACTCAGCAACCTGAATATTGCTAGTTTGAATCATCATCCCTGTGTATGCAGACTCCAAACTAGTTAACCAAAGCTATCTTAAATAGTTATGACAACAATTCTTCAGTTTTAATTTTTATCTATCTCTCCCCTTTCCTTCTTTTTTCTTTATTCAGAGACAACCCAGTTGATGAATGTGACTTAGACCTGTATTTTGTTGGAACCTATGATCTGTTAGGCGCTGTACACGAGGAAGAGCTCATTGAAGGGGGCAAAGATATAAAAGTAACTGAAGAAAATAAATTCGATTATATCAGGTATACAGTGTCTTTTTTTCACTTCAGTAGATTATATACATGTTGAACAATTTATCCACATTGATTATTTTCGTGTATTGAATGCAATAGTTTTCGATAGATATTCGTATTTCGCTTCCTTTATGAATACACTTTTCTACATAATTGACAATGAAGCGCTTGTAAATGCACAGGAAAGAATTTAGTGCTGAAGTTTTTTCAATGAAAGTTATCCCATTGATTATTGTTTTGAGACTTGTAATTTCCCGTTGCTATACAGGGTCGAATTGCTCGATCTGTGTTGATAGATGGGCTCCTCGATACTGCTAGACATTCATGATGTTTTATCCATCTTGGTGACTCGCTGTGGAATCCACGACGCGCGTTTCGTTGTAACTGAAACTTATCAGCTGGATGTATCTACACCCCAGTGAGTGATCTTGTTCCCCCTGAGACCTAGAAGCCAGTACCCGTCACTCCAAACACCAAAGCTTTATCCCCTAGACCACTGTAACACGAGAGCTACCTCTTATGCAACAGGTATCATTTCTTTTTGTTGTGCACTTGCAAGTTCCTGGCAGTATCAACGCCTCCACATAGTAGCCCATCTGCAAAAAGAAGTCGAGCGATTCGACCCCACATAGCGGTGGGGAATCCCAGGTATCAAAGAACAACAGATGACGCATGTCTCACAAGCGATGCCTCTCGTCACCCAGTGGCCTAGTGAACAACACTTTGGCGTTTAAAGCGATGAGCACTGCGTTTGAGTCTTAGTGGGAATAAAATTACTTGTTAGGGTGCAGAGATATCCAGCTGGCGAATCCCAAGTAGGACGAAACGTGCATCATGGATTCCACTGCTAGTCTCCAAGACGGATGCATTATCGTATTTATCTTTTATGGCATTAATGCACGTCAATTTTCTTGCTTCTGAAAATAGGGATTATTAATAAACCTTATCATTTCGATTTTTCAGGGCAGATTCATTATTCAAGATATTCTGGGCATCCGCTTATCAAGATTTTCGTCCTCTTGACATCTGTGCACTGTTATTGGTGTCTATGCGCGCGGAAAACTCTGAGTATAACCACATATGATAACGACTGTAGTCGTTCATTTCATTCATTTACCAACCCGTGTTTACCTGACGCACACAGATAGTGAACTGAGCACAAACTTATTGGGAGTCATCGAAGTTATGAGAAGGAAAACTAAAATATATCCACATTGGTTGGTCACTGGAGAGTAACCAATTTCAAATTGTCCGGTCCTGAGTGCTGATTGCATTCTATCGATCATTTTGCAATGTGGCCACCAGCATCACGGCGTAATTTGATTGATTTTAGATCCAGAAAATTTGGTGAGCATATAGGACTAGACAACATGAAATCGGTTACTCCTTCAGTGACCAATCGATTTCTCTAGTCCAGTCCTACATTAGGTCAATCACCATTGGAATAGCCCAGTGGTAGTCTCTGATTGTGACACCGCGTGAGGCGGGTTTGAATCTCACAGGGGATAGCAGTTCCCTCAAAGTTGTAAATACGCCTTGCTGATGAGTACCAAAAAGCACGAAACCTAAGTCTAGGGTTTCCAACCGATCGCTTCCAATCATCTAGTGTTAAAACGTCTTTTAGTTGCACCTATTCAGCTATTTTTTTTTCTATGAGTGCTCATAACGAAATGTTAACTAAGAAAATCCGTTAATTCACTAAGTGTCATTATCAGTCCGTTCTGTCCTGTTGTACGGCTGTGAGATATGGCCGTTGAAAGTCGAAGATATGAAGCGATTACAGAGTTTTGATCACAGACGTCCTCGTAGCACTGTTCAAGTTTGGTGGAATCACCGTGTGAGCAATATTGAAGTCAGGCGTACGGTACTAGGCAAGTCAATTGATGAGGTTATAAACCTTTATCGACTAAAATGGCTGACACATGTACTTCCCAAGCCGAGTGGGCCACCAAATACCTCAATGTCCAATCCTAGGGGAAATTGGATACGATATGAAGAAGATGATTAAGGGTGTTCAGACCAAGACATGCCACCAGTTCATCAAATATCTAACCACCATTGGTCTGATTTGTGTGGTGGACATGTAGACTGTCTGGTTGGGGTCCCTGAGAAGAAGTGAATCAGTGGTTGACGACTGACGCTTGTTAACATGACTGAAAATCGGTGACAATGGTGCAGAGATGTATTCACTCCTTAACATCTTCTAAAGCTTGAATATTTGTACTCACCGTTATCTTCGAATTGTTTATTTTTTCATATAAGTATGTCTACTTTGATATCACTCTTATTCTATCCACCTGTTCTTCGTGTACCATTGTAAAGTGTGGCAAGTTGAGCTGATGCATTTTATGTGTGAGGTGAGCTTCTATTTTGATTTTGTCTTTTCAATTGCTCATTCAAATTCCCTCTGTTTATTGTGAACGATAGTCAATAGATAATCTAGATTCTAGAAACACTATTATTGGAGTTAGCGAAACAAGCTTTAATCTTTAAACATTCGGTATAACTTAAGAATACCTGCTAATTTCAAAGACGGAAACACATGCCATAAATTCGAACTTATTTTGTTTGTTGGAGATACAGCTACATTTTGGCTGTTTCTACAACCTTCATTATGAAAAGGCAACAGTAACAACACAGATGTTGATAATAATATTAGTAATTGTGAAACTGTGAACGAACGAAGCGCACTCAATAACCTTATGCACATTTTCGCATCAGGCAATGAGCTACATCCATTATGTAGTAAGGTTTAGTAATACTACTGACTGCCCAAACCTCGGTAGGTGGAGTGGAATTTGAACCCGTGATCCAATGGTTAAATCAACACCAAGTTCGTGCAACAGAAATGACTAAACACCCGTTCAAAACATTCTGAAAAGTAAATTACCCCTATATAAACTGTTTCTCAAAATTGTGGGCTTACATTTATATGAATGTGAGCTATGAATTGTGCCTGTCAATCAACTTTTAACCAATGGGTCACATGTTCAAGCTCTGAAGTTCAGACAGATAGGTAGTATCATCATCTCTTCAACAACTAGTTTGACTGGCCAGTTGTCTATTACACATGGCTATTCATTTGCATTATATTTATTTTTTGATACATATATTCTTTTCGTTAAAATGTAATGTAAAGCTTTCATGTTAACGGTAATTCAAATACCTTAACTTTTGCCTTGTCTCAGATTAATGGTGGATTGGCGATTTAACAGAGGTGTAGCGAAACAAACAGAAGAAATTCACAAAGGTATCTTTGAAGTGTTAAATCCTGAATGGCTGCAGTTATTTGACGAACGTGAACTTGAAGTAAGCTTTAAGATCCTTTTAAATCATCAAATATCGTTTTGAGCATCCTGGTTTTATGGGTGTAAAAGAGAAGTTACCTTCAACACTAAAAATAAAAAAAATAAGTAAAGTATAACTTCTGATAGACGCATTGAGCTTCAGGTTGCCAAGCTTCACTTTGGCATATCTAAACAAAGGCTAACGAAAAGATAAACAAAGAAATGAAGCGTTACAAGACAGTGAATACATTTCTGATATCCTGATTTAAAGGAAAAACAAGCATGAATCTGTATCACTACAGTCAAGTTTCAGCTGAGCCTCGTAGTCTGAGACTTGACTTTGGTTGACTCATGGACTTCGTCTAGGAAGCTATGATATATTATACATTGGGATAGGCGTTCAATGCGAATGTGTAGCACATATCCCAACCATTTCAGTCGATTAACATATACAACCCTATTGACTGATTGGTTTTCCATATCCAAGACTCATGTAATGTTCCCACCGTACATGACTAACCCTATGAAGGCAACAGTGATCGAAGGCCGTATGTTTTTTCTATCAACCCAGCTATATTTCATGAGTATATTTAAAAGCTGATAATCTGCGGTATATTGCCTTTTTTTCTGTATGCCTGCGGTAAGATGATCACGTCCATTTCATTAGACTTTTTTGAAGGTTTAAGCTATTATTGAGTCATAAAAATCCTTGATGTAGTCATATCATTCAGGTATAATAACATCAATTAGTAAACTCTTATCAGCTGAGAACCATACTTATTCTATTCTATACTATTACGCTGCAGAGACTGAAGTAAGTCGATAGAGACTGACCCCGTCACCTGATGGATAAAAGTTGGATGTCTAGGTTGCATATTCCTATATAGTTATTCTATCTGGAATTTTAGTGAATCATTGTGAAAATGTTTATTTCATTTTCATAAATACAAAACAACAGAACCACTCATACACCACCGTGCATACAGATCAAGTTCCTTTTTGTTCTCCATTCCTTCTTACAAGTCAATTGTGTGCTCCTTTGAAAATCCGTGACAGTACAAACAAATTACCACCTGAGAATTTGATAATTCAAACACTGGGCGCAACTGAGCCTAACACTTTCAGTTGTGCATAACTTTCATGCTTAATCTGCGAAAAAAATGTTGTATAGTAAGGTTAATTGGAAGTTTGCCTATACAGACTGGAAAAAAAATTTTCTTTTTTCGTTTGCCCTCATACAAAACAATACTTACTTGTAATCGATGGTCAGTGTAACACAGTTGTATATTGGTTTTAAAAAAAATTAATGTGTATTGTTTGTAAATCCTAAATCATTTATTGATATGCATTCTTTTGTTCCCTGCCTATTTTTATTGTCTTCCACATATTGTTTCTTTTGTGTACTCCACACCGACAATGTTAGTCGATCGAACTATTTACATGACTGGTATTGACTGAACTGTAGTTTTGTCAGTGCATTGAGTAATTCTTCAGCTAACTGTAATAAAGAGTGTTTCAAACCCAAAAAGGATGCAAAGCTGCAGGATCTGGTAGTTTGCCAACAGAAATTCTTAAGGATCGATACAGGGAATTACTGAATAAAAAATGGAGATACCCGGTGGCATACAGAAATCTATGTAGTCTCGTCAGACTGGTGTAAATCGATGATCATATAAAGAAAGGAGAGAAGTCTTGATGTGACAACCTTAGGAGAATTAGTTTGACTAATATCTTGTCCAAGATCCTAGGGTCCATAGTTATCCCATACCTAAGTGGAGCTGGAGAACAACAAACTCGAGATAACCAGGCATGTTTCAGATCTGGATAAAGCATGCATTGACTAAATTTTCACCCTTCGACAAGTTCTGGAACCCAGATACACTTACCGTCAGCCGACATTTGCCATATTCATTGACCTGAAGGCGACCTCTACTCAGTCGACCATGAGGTGTCGTGTCAGTTTCTGACTATGAAAGGAGTACCGGAGAAGTATGTAATGCTAATTAAAGCTCTCTACTAGAGCTCACGTAGCTGTTTAAGGGCTTATGGAGAGTTGTCATGTGAATTGGCGATAACTATTGATGTACAGCAGGGATGCCCACCATCACGGTTTCTGTTCAACTTCTTTATAGATGTACTGTTGAACGCAACTCTAGGTAGTCTGACTTCACAGAGGTTGATCCACTCCCTGATGGGTATGTGGTTGACTTGGAGTCCGTATACGACATTGCTCTAGTAGGTAAATGTAGACTTGTTGGTTGGGGTCCAAGTGATAGACGAAATCGGTGTCTAGTTTCTTTCTTATTTATCCATAGTTTCTCTCAGGTGTACTGATATGAGTTATGGCAACTAAGAATATTGGCAGGAATACCAGGTCGCACATTTACGTTGAATAACTAACACAACACTGTTTTGGTTGCATATGAGGTAAATGAAAGCTCTCAACCCATTCGATCTGTCAAAAATAAAGTCAAAAAACAAGACGAATTGCTTAGTAATTCTAGAACAAATGGGAGGTGATTAACGAAGTTTTTTTGTGTAATCCAACACGTGTCTATCTTCTTCTCGTTTGTTATTCATCGTACCGAGGGAAATATCCCCCAAGTTACCTTTTTTAGTACAATTATTTAGATTGGAATCCAGTATTCACAGGAATTTAAACCTACCAACTTTCACCTGAAATTATTTTATGATTTCAGCTACTAATTAACTACTCATTTTAATCGTAACTGCATTCGAAGTGTGGATAAATGCGTTGTTAGAGATCTTAGCCTTACATTGAGTAGGCTGTTTCGATCTAGTCTCTTCTTCTTCAGTCACCTCATTTGTGATACTTTTGATTCATTATGAAATAGCTATTCTCAATAGTTAAATCTAAGTTATACCGCCCGATTTTCATTTTTCAATATATGTTGAGCTCATTTTCATATTACTTTTACCACCAGCTTCTTTTATCCGGTATGCCGGAGATTGACATCGATGACTGGGAGAAAAATACTGTTTACCTGAAGTATTCACGATCAAGCAAACAAATCATCTGGTTTTGGAAGGTAAGTAAACATTACCTATCCTCAATCAATCTCATGAGGATTTTCTGTTCATTATTATTATTACTATCATCATCATTATTTGTCCCTTGGGTTCCTAGTGGAACATAGGACTTCGGTAGCACGTCGTCACTTCGCTCTCTTTGAAGTTTTTCTAACCTGGCCCCACGACTGCCGAGAAGCTTTCATTTCTTAGTCGCGCGATCTCCATGCCACCCTCAAACATCCAACTAGTCATTTCCATTTCGGCTTCCTTCCACTCGAGGGCCTTCATGGAGCGTGATGTCCCCAGTCGGCTTTCTCAGTGTATGCCCCATTCAATCCATCTCCACATTCTTCTGCATAGTTGTTGGGCGGTGGGTTGTTGGTTCGTTCGTTCGTTGCCAGCCAGCCAGCCATAGTTCCTTGTTGCTTATTCTTACTATTCTGACCATCTGATCTTCAGTGTGAGTATCGAGTGAGCGTAGGCGGCAGCTGTTGATGATGAATGTCTGTGGTTTGTTGGAAATGGTTTTCGTAACGCACCAAGTCTCTCAACCACCACACAGAAGCACTGAGTTACTTGACTGATATTAGTGTTGAAAATCCGGATCTTGTTCATGCTTTATGCTCAGTGCAGTGCAGTGTAGTGCAGTGCAGTAGATCTCCACACCGATTTCAGGTTAGTGGAAGGCATGTCTTGTTGTCGTTCCGATCCTGGTTTTGACGTCCTCATCTGTCCCACTGTCGTCACCTGTAGTTAGGACGATGCTGCCTAGGTAGGTAGGTAGGTATGTAGGTATATGTGTAGGTATGTGGGCAGGTAGGTAGGTGCTAGCTAGTTAGGTAGGTGAGTGAAAGAGACTACTTCCTTTTTATTCCTCACTTTCATTATGATTGGTGCTTGTTGTTGTTGTTGTTGTTGTGGTGGTGGTGGTGGTGGTGTGGATTTTGTTGGGTATCTTCATCACCTCTATCTTCTCCACGTTCACCTTAAGGAAGTCACATCTTCCTTCGCTGCCTCGCCTCTCCTGTCAACTTGTTGGTTTTCGCTTGCAGATCTTCGGGTTTGTGCCACAAGATATTACACATAAATCATCATCGTTGGCGAAATCCAATTCCTCTCCTGACGTCTTTCCATCGGTCCAATCAGCGTATGCCCATCTTCTCGCTCCTCACGGTTTGCTGCATGATCCAGTCGATCACAGTCAAGAAGATCATCGATGATGGATAGTAGAAAACCTTGTCTCACTCCTGTCTTCACTTCAAAGGCATCACTGAGCTCAACTTTCTACTGTGGATCACTTGGCATGTAGCATCACATAGGATATAGGTGTTGAATGAGGTTGATGAAGATGTGTGGTACTCCGTAGTGTTGAAGCAGCTGCCTGCCAAATTACTTGTCAGTGGACTCGGTCGAAGTCCGTTTCGAAATTGATGAAGTAGAGGTAGAGATCCAGTTGACTGCCATTGTATACTTTATTCTATGTTGATGCGAAGCGTCGTGTTGTGTTGGAATTTGATCCGCACATGATTTGTGTTTCTTGAAGGCAGCCAGCCAGCCAACCAGCTAGAATGTTGCGGTCGTAATTTTGAATGCAGAGCATTGTTTAGTCTCTTCAGGATGGTGTGGCTTGATATTTTGCTTGGGGTGGACGGGAGTGGAACATGATTCCGTGCCAGTTGTTTATCTTCATTATACATAATATATTGAAGGGTTATTATTTTCAGAATCTATTTTCCGCTCTTTGTGTTTCTCTCTTCTGTTACTGTGTATGAAAAATCTCCAATGTTTCACGAAATTCTCTGATAAATGTGACTAAAAGGACGATCATGTACCTGGGATGGAAGTTACCTTTAGAAATGTACTTGCTTTGGGTTACTGACATGTGAAATTTCTTCTAGTTATTTGTCTTATCATCATCATCATCTATATGACAAATTTCGCAGCGCTTTTAACACGATCTCTTTTGTTCGACGCTTTACTTCATAGATATATTTTTATGGATATAGTAGTACCGCCCTACTTTGATGTCAGTGACATTATCATTATCTATGTTTTAATAATTAATCGATAGACTTAGGCTTCATCATCACTGTATGGGGCGTCTGATTAGTGTTGGTTTTTAAATGAAAAATCAGAACGCATATAGATTTCATCATCAAATTTATACAAGGAGCTATTCCCATTTTCTTTCCGTAAAATACACCTCAAGCTCACTAAGATAGATGATATAGTTCTACTTTGCCAGCTGTGTAGTCTTTTTTTAATCCCTCTCACCTCTTAAAACTGTCATACTCCTAATAAATGAGTCACTGTTTCTCAATATTATGGCCTACAACATTAGTACGACAGGTATTCTTTTTTGTGTTTTGGTTTGGGAGGTTCACTAATGTGCAAAACAATAATCCATATAAAGAGATGCATATTTATGTTTCCGCCTTCTAACATATAAAGGTGAGGTGTGTGAGAAATGCGATAAAATCTAACCGTTCGCTTGCAACACTTTCTTTGCATCCAGTACAATTACCTGAATAAGAGAACAAAACAATGTATACACTTATTTACAAAACTGTGAGCACAAAAGGCAACAGAAATATCATGACAAGTTTAAATGCTTCAAATGCTGTACAAAATATAAAGTGATGCTTCATAATAAAATCCACTTATTTTGAGTATTGAAGGTAGAGTCAGCTAAGCATAGAACTAGTTGGCATACTTGCACGATTTTGAAGCCGTGGTAATCGTCTGTGCTTTATTTGGCATTTTGTATCCTGGTATTCACCTTTTAAGTTACAGTCTTCTCTATCTATGGTACAACACACTCCGCATACAGTAGCTCGAAAATATCCGCTGAATGTTGCAATTCATCAAGCTACAGTTCGTTTAAACGTATGAGAAGTGGCGTTAGATTTTCTTGTTTTCATCATCTTCCGGGTTATCTGCCATACATGGGACCATTCCCAATTTTATTCTTCGAACAATACCTAATACAGTAGCTCTTTGTTGCTCATTCTTTACTGAATAATTCGTCGATTATTTTTGTCAGCAAGGTATATTGTAAACAAAAGCTCTGGGAACACAGTCAATATCAAAGTCATGTCTACTCACTTTCTGATTTCTTGTTAAAAATCTTTCTACACTGCTGCACCAATTCACTTCTTTACTGACAATAGATTAGGATTTCATGTGTCTTTTCCTAGTAATTCCGTACAACAGTTATACGTTGTGGTATTGATTATTCAGACAGGTGTTTATTACACTTTTATCCATTGAATATTACACTTATATGTAGCTTTAGTTGGTTAGTTTGTATTGTGTAACTATTAGTATTTCTGTGAATTCACATTTTTAAGAATCCCTGTAACAACGTATTAATCAATTACGATCTGATGTCATTACAGATGCAATTGATTACAAAGAGTTTTCTTCACAAGGTTACCTCCAGGTGTGTAAATTGAGCAGAAGATAGTTCTTCAATGATGAAAGAGAATGTCATACTCAAATCAAGGGCGACTTTAAAGGCCACCTCAGCAACTCCTGAAATAACCAATCAGGTTACAGTATTTCGACTGGGAAGGGAGTTTTTCATGGGATTTAGGAATTTAATTCATTATTTTAGTTGTTGTTAGGGTGGCCTTTAAAGTTACCCCACAACAACTTAGTCACTAACTTAAATTCCCAGATCATTTTACAAAATAGTGACAGTGGGAGTTATAACAAGTCTTACAGAGCGAATAAACAGTTGTTACGTTATGTAAACACGACAACATTGCATCTGTCTTTAGAAGAATAAGGCTATAAATTATCCCCAGATGTTATAGTGATCTGTGCGAAAATAACATATTTTCTGCTTTTTGTAAGCAGATATTTTGAAGTAAAAACTGCAATCATAAATCCTTTCTGCTGCAATTTGAAGGCTCAATTAACTTACTTTGGATTTGTGAGCATGATTCTTCATAAATAAGTGTACTTACATCTCAACTAGGAGGTGGAAGTCCAACCAATACTTTGCACATGAATAAACGGTATGAAACATGATTCAGTAACAAACTGCGTTTTGGAAACTATAAAAATAGTTAAAATATGCATACAACATACAGAAAGTACGCAAACTTGTACACAGAACGTTATATCCTATAACAAGCACGATAACATCTGGGGATAACTTTTAGCCTCATCCTTTTAGAAGCCGCCAGTAATTTGATTTGGAGTAACTTTCAGGGCCACCATAACAACAACTAAAACAAACAATCAAATTCTTAAATTCTATGAAAATCTCCCTTCTCAGTCGAAATACTGAAATCTGACTGGTTATTTCAGCAGTTGCTGGGGTGACCTTTAAAGCTACTCGTTCTTATCCACTGAAGTACGTGTTGTTTATATATATATATATATATATATATATATATATATATATATATATATATATATAGTATGTATTTGTTTTAATTTGTTTTATTGTAAAGCTTGTTAGAAAACTGGATAATGAACATCGTGCTCGACTTTTGCAGTTTGTCACTGGTACTTGTCATTTACCATTGGGGGGCTTTTCTGAATTAACCGGTAAGCACACTAACTTCTCTTACAAATTCAATCCATGTTAGTTTAGGTTATAGCCAATTAACTAAGCTAACAGTTAGGCTACAGATTATAACTGTTTCACTAATTTCTCTAATCAAGTCTACTTTCTTTCAGCTACCTTGTGTTTTGTAACATTGAACCTATGAGTGAAGGTGTTCAAGCCAATTTCACCCACCTTTATTATACATGGTATCTTTGTCTTTCACAAAAGCATTCAGACGTGTCTAACTGCCTAGCAGGTGGTCTCGAATTCATTTAATGTTTCTTTGAGACATCGTTAAAGACGCTACGTAGATGAGTCACTTCCACCATACTGCAAAAAATGATCACAGAGCCGCATTACCTCTGCTCCCAATCCTGCTGCGACCCAGGTTTTCGTTTCACCTCCAGAGACCGATGACTTGGGTCGAGTATAATGATCTATGGAGAATTAAAAATATCAATAAATGTTATTCGAAGAAGTTCAATGGAAATTATGTGGTTAACATTCATCCATAGAGCATTTGTTCAAAAATTCTTGTCAGTGTCAAGACACTTGGATGTGCGAACACCTTAGCAACTATACAGTTTTCACAAGTTTAGGATTCAAGTAACATGATTGATGTTGTCCAGGAGAAATGTGTGCTACTAATATAACGAGCGAAAAAAAATGTTCAGCAGTGGCCACCAATAGTTGGATACAGTGATCGGCCCCCATCCCTTGTGTGAGGACTGGTTTAACCAAACCTAATTAGGTGGAGCGGGGTTGAAAGCGATAATTAACTGACTGAAAGCTGATTCCGTAAATCAAAAGTTACGGCTACACATAGACAGGCAGGCAGACAAAATCAACATTGGCCCAAGCATTACTGCACAACAATCCAAGTCGCCACATCTCATATGAGCACATCAAGCGAGAAAGTACTAAAATTAAAGATGCAGAAATAAAGAAGAGAGCAGTGGAAAGTGGTAGGAAGTAGTGAAAAGAGAGGAATGAGGACAATATTGAATTCATTATGACAATTAACGTCAGGATAACGTGTGAATACATTTGCACCACTGATATCGATTCCGAGGTATGTCATCTAGAGTCTTACACGGGCCCCAACCGGCTAGTCTGCGTCTCCCAACGTAACTCAAACCAACAGTCAAGGACTTCGTGTAGTGATGCCATGCTTTTCTCCTTTTCCATCCTGAACGTATTTCAGCGACAAAATAGGATGTGACTAGTCATACGTAACACATGTTTCAGCCACCCGAGTCGGTGAAGTTTCGTAGCCACATCGATTAAATTTCATCTTCACCCTAAAACTTCACACCCAAGTTCTGCATTTTTGACATAGTAACACCATGACATACTATCTATGCCACATAGACAACGACGGTCGAACTCCTGAAGCCGATTCATGTTCTTAACCTTGAATGGTTATTTTTCACAGCCAGATAGTAGAACAGAGCAAACAGCAGCACGCCGAGGCTACAGATGGCCTAAGTTGGCGAAGCCAATCAAGGTTTTTGTATCCGTTCAGAGATTTCGTCGATTACTCCCCACCAAGACTGATTCAACTTCCAAGGTGTGGGAAGTGGTCAAGGCGCTCAACCATTCCACTTTCTATTGTTAGAAATGGCTCCACTGAAGACCAGCTCTTGAGAAAAAGAATTTCGTTTGGGTGGAGAGAAACTCATCTGGCACATTCTCAAATTGCTATTCAGTGTTTCCAGATGATTCTATGTCTTATCAGAGTCCTCACCTAACAGGACCATGTGATTTGCATACTCTACAACCTACTAAGGATTCTCCTGTGATAAGATCAATCCCTGTGAAGTCACATGACGTGATGGGGACCGCCATAAGTATGTATATGATAAAGTTGAATAAGAGTAGAGAGAGTGGACAGACTGATGTACTTACTCTGTACTGGTTTCCATGAGATCTGCCGATCGACGGAGTCAAATGTCGCCTTCAGGTCGAGAAATACAGTGTAGTGTCGGTAAGTATGTCTCTTGTTCTAGAACGTGACAGAGAATGAGAATCTAGTCGGTGCATCCACGAACACGTCTCAAATCTGCATGCCTGGCTTTCTGGGACTCACTGTTTCGCAGCTCCACTTAGACATCGAATGTTAGTCGGAACTATAATCCTAGACACTATGTTCATCAGGCTGATTCTCCTTTCATTATCACCAGAGGACTTCTCACCTTTCTTGAAGACTAGTGTAATAAATGCTTAAGACCAGTCAGAGGGGACCATATCTGACTCTTATATGCAGTTGCTAACTCTTTAGTCAGTTGCAGCAGGCGATCTTCGTTGTGTGTTCATTTGGCTGGGATCCTGAATGTGCTACCTAACTACCTTTTGCCTGACTTTTTCTACCCTTTGTTCATTAGAATCACCTGCAACGAGAACCACGTCTTAGTATTTGGCCTTCAGTAGGGGGCTACAAAGTTTGCAGTAGAATTCATGCGAACTGCAGTCAGTGGGTTCAAAGAGATGTCGATGAGTTTCCCTACTCCTTTTAGTCCTCACTGTGCCGTTTATTTGAACTGTGCATAGACGACTGTCAACTAGGGTCCAGTTGAGCAGTGAACTTTCTGCCTTAGGAATCAAAGCTATTCTTACACCTACAAGGTCCCGACAACTAGCTATCGAATCTCCAGAAACTCGAAGGATGAATCTCCAAGATTCGCCGAATTGGCAGGATGAGGTTAAGTGAACATTCCCATTGTATGTGTCTCTCGTAAACAGCACACATCCATGGCCTGAGATGCTGGAGTTTTGGCTAGCAAAGCTTCTTGTTTGATTTAATGGAAGGTGTGGACATTGAGAACTCCAATACGTAGTTTGCAGTTCGGTTTCAGGATACCATGAATGCTTTTCCGTGATCACCTATCGCTATCAAGAGCTGCAGAGCTGGAAGAGATCACCAAGGGTAGATTGGATTTTTAGGTAGCAAGAATTTTGTCTGTCATCTGCAAGCATCCCGTTAATTAGATCCAGGAACAATAATAATAATAATAATTCTCTCCTTTCAAAGCTTTCTGCTTTAACAGACATCATCTTTCTGAAGTCTGATACTTATCTTCACAGTCCATCTTACTAGTGTGTTAATTCGAATTCATGTGACTGACTGACAAAATCAACATAGAACCTCACCTCACACATAAAATACATCAGCTCAACTTGCCACACTTTACAATAGTACACGAAGAACAGGTGGATAGAATAAGAGTGATATCAAAGTAGACATACTTATATGAAAAAATAAACAATTCGAAGATAACGGTGAGTACAAATATTCAAGCTTTAGAAGATGTTAAGGAGTGAATACATCTCTGCACCATTGTCACCGATTTTCAGTCATGTTAACAAGCGTCAGTCGTCAACCACTGATTCACTTCTTCTCAGGGACCCCAACCAGACAGTCTACATGTCCACCACACAAATCAGACCAATGGTGGTTAGATATTTGATGAACTGGTGGCATGTCTTGGTCTGAACACCCTTAATCATCTTCTTCATATCGTATCCAATTTCCCCTAGGATTGGACATTGAGGTATTTGGTGGCCCATTCGGCTTTGGAAGTACATGTGTCAGCCATTTTAGTCGATGAAGGTTTATAACCTCATCAATTGACTTGCCTAGTACCGTACGCCTGACCTGAACAGTGCTACGAAGACGTCTGTGATTAAAACCTTGTAATCGTCTCATCAACTATATCTCACAGTCATATAACAGGACAAAATGGACCGCAGGGCAGTATGCTCGTCCTTTAATAGGTTATCGAACTCACGTGGTTGCTTATCTGTCGATCTTTTTTTAATAAGTACGGTAGAAACAGTAAGACATCCTCGCTTGCACTTATGGCATAAACTTGAAGGTATGATATTATCTTATCTGCTAATTCTCATAGATAATAATATACCTGTTCATAGGACATACACTGAAACGGTTATTATTAAATTTGAGAAGGAATGAATGAATATTGACCTCTTATGCACTTGATTCACTGTTTTCTTTGAAAAATTAGTCTTGTATGTGTTTATTGATTTGGTAAAGCTTGAGAACCTTTTAAAAGAGTTAAATTCAGGTTAAGAGTAATTCCCGGGTTAATTAATGGCTCTCACATAGAACTGTGAGGCCTTTCAGTCTGTCCTAAAGCTGACCGTTTATGCTAATACAGAAAAGTCATTGACCATGCCTGATCAACTACTGTTTGCTACTCTAATTATAAATTAATCTTTGTCCACAAAATGCTTATTTTATGCTCAGTGTTTTTACTTTCTCTTTTAATATTACAAATTTACCAATTAAACTATTTTAGGCAGTGGTGGTCGTCAGTTGTTTTGCATAGAGCGTACAGGTGATGAACAATGGTTGCCGCGTAGTCACACCTGTTTCAATCGTTTAGACCTACCACCATACCGTTCATATGATCAGTTATGTGAAAAATTACAAATGGCAATTGAAGAGACTAAGGGATTTGGACAAGAATAATTCAATCAAGTGTCTGCATATGTGTTTGTGTTCCGTTTATCTCTGTCTTGTTACACTCCTCTTTGTGAACAGTTTTCTTCTGTGACGCGTTCACTGTATACCCTCTCGCCTGTTAATTTAACTATATATGATGAGGTGAGGAAGAAGGTGAAGGCGAATATGCGGATATATATATATATATATATATATATATATATATATATATATATATATATATATATATGCTGTGTCAAACTGTGATCTACCCCCAGCAGTAATTTTGATTGTCATATAATTTCTTATTATTTACCTCTCCCCCTCTTTTTTATACACATAATTACTATTGACGTTGGATACTGAAAGCTATTTTATTAAATATTTTTTAAGTTTTGGAATCTTCTAAATTTGTTCAACGTCGTCCGTCTGTCGTAGTGTACGTTGGTGTCATGTGTGCATCACGTTTTTGTTTGGGGTTAGGGCACGGAAGTACTTCAGTGCAACTTATCATACTTCACAGCAGCAAACAAACACAAAAGTATATATGTTGTGATACAAAGAAGAAGATATCCATGACAATGAAGTTGACAAAGATTATATACATATTACCATTATGATCCATTTCGAATGATATCACAGAAGTTCTTCGGCTGCTGGTTTGTATGATCTTGAGGACCTAATCCAGGTAGCCTACACCCACCTGCACGACTGACACCGATAATCAAAGTTTTCCTAAACTGATGCCACGTCTTCGTCTGGTCACCCTTAGCCTTATTTCAACCCATCCCTACTTCGGGTAACATTGTGAGTGGAAGTAGACGGGCGGCTCGTTATGCACAACACCATACCCAAGCCACCTCATTCGATGAAAATCATTAGCTTCATCCACTGACTTGTCTGGTAGTCTACGCCTAACCTCAACGAAGCTCATATCTTTGCGTATCTAAAATCAGTGTCATTGTACTCAGTTTGATTCGATACCCATCTTTCCACTTAAAAACTGTTCGAACCTGTTTGTATGTAAGTATCATAAGACAGCGAAAATGTTAAGCTCCTACTCTTATATTTCTAATTTGATGTGGCTCGTTGACATCACAGAATACCGATCTCATTGCGAATACTGGTATAAGTCTCTGATCGAAAAACTTTCTCTTACGTCTTGTATTATACCAGGTACCACTGCTTTGAAAAACACTGTCATAATATTTTCCTTTCAATAAGGTCGAGCGAAGTTTATTCTGAATTCGGGTTCTCCGTCTATTTAGCTTCCACTGCTCACGATTGTTGTTGAGTTGTTTTCAGTCCATATTTTTGGCTGTTCACCATGCTCAGAGCTAGGTGGTTTACAGTTTGTTACATTCATTAATTAGAATAGAGCTGCCTTTCACCCAATGACTTTTTTGAAGGTTAAGTATACCGGACATGGGATAGGCTACTTGATAACGAGGAGTTCTGTCTATTGCTTATAAAATCCATCCTTGATATTGTCTTATAGTTGATTTTGTAAAGGTCTTTCTGCATACTTTAAGGCTGACACACGCGATTTCCATCTGACCGTTTACATTAGTCCACAAAATCCTTGTAAATAATAACTGAAAGCGATATCATTAATCTGGATCCACCATTGGGTGGGGGTCTTTGTATGAGGGTCATAAAATGCTCGATTATCTGTGTTCGTTTGGTTGTCAAGGCATAATTGTGGCAAGTAGTCAATACTATTGGTATGCTAACATGAGATCATGAAAGTACCACTTCAGCACCTTACTCTCATGTTTATCCTTACGAAATGTGTGTATTTGTCTGCATAAAGATAATTAGGTGTCAGTAGAAACTCTTCTTCAGCTTGTCCGAACTAGAGTCACTGGGTGCTCAGGTAGACTACAAAACGATATCGTCATGTGTTACTTATTTTTTATATGGTATTCACTCAAGCAGCGCTGACTGATCATCATTAGTAGTCTGAAAGCAAAATATGTATTCTATTCCAAGAATAAATGTTATACCTATAGAACTGCAGAAGTTGACTGCCGATGTCCTAGATACCTAAAGGTTGAATTCTTCAGACTCACCACAGTGACTGGATACTGGCAAACGAACAACCGCACTTGAGTAGTATTGTAGAGACACAAGTTTCAATGAATGAAGAAACTCAAGTTTTGGCTGCTAAGACCTGTTTCTCGATTTGATGCAGAGTTTGGGCATTCAACGATTCATCATGTAGTTCATAACGCGGTCTTAGGTTACTAATTAAGCATTTTGTGGAGATTCAAATTCATAACGTTGGCAGCAGAATCCAAGAAAGTCAGAGGTAATGGTAAACGTTGACAATACAATAAGCAAAGGATATTGGTGCTGTTCAAAAACGATTCGAGTACTGCTGTACTTTTGTATACAGTTGACACTTCGTCTTATCAAACTGCCGTAGATAACTTCATGAAATATTTGGCAATTGAATAGCATTGTAGCGTGTCAAAAAACCCAGGGGAAATCTACTTAAATAAACTACATACGCCGTTTATGGTGATATTGTCTTATATTTTTATAGGGTCATCTCTATCCTTCAATAACCTTACAGCTGACACCTTAGCTTCTTCTGTAAAAGGCGTGCACTCTTTTCTCATAGCTAAGGTTTTCTTACAACAAATGAACACCAAAATCACTGGGAATAGTGATCATCCTTCAAGAACGTTACCACTAGTACATTCAACTGTGGTAAGAAATATATTTTCGTTCTCAAAACTGAAATTAGAGAATTTCAGTTTGACTGTCCTCCTACTGACTTTTTCAAAGCGACGAAACTTCGAAAATGAACAGTTCTACCCAACAAACGAATAGGTGTTGATGGGCAAATTTGATCACTGTGACATCTGTGGTCACGTTTTTCTGCCGGAATCTCTCTATACTTCTTTCGTACTATACTTTAGTTTCCCATTGAAATACCAGCGATATTCTTAATGCAAACCATCATAATGGAAGGCTGTTCTCAGAAATGTTAATTTGAGAAGCTGATCATTATGACACACCATCTGTTTCTATGATGATTTCCAAAGAATTTTCTGAATAATATTGCTATTCCAAAAGCTACTAATTGCGAAAGTCCCTTCTGCTTATGATGTGGGTCTTATAAGATCAACTTTTGATCGTATCCTCTTCAACTGTCTTTTTCATCTTTTCTACAGTCCTCTTTCTGATTGATTTATAGTATGTGGAATCCAATTTCTTTCCCTTTGCTTTCCCAGTGTAATTACACTCTGACTTTTAACATCGGACATTATTGTGTGTGTTCACACACTCATGATCCACTGTTATCTGGCAATTCACCAGCGGAATCGCATCGCCAAACAATATTGTCTTTTTTCCAGGGGCTTGTTATTCCGATCGTTTTACCTCATCTGTAATATATATCCGGTACTGACTTTACTACATAACCAGCCAATATATGCCTACGTCAAAATGGAAAAACTAACACTGTATTATAGTATATGCATCAAAATTCCCATCTAAACGAGGAAAGCACCATCGAAAAATTGAATGTGCATAGACTCTGAGAATGCAAACTCCACAAAGTATGTGTGCCAGGAACTCGCATCAATTCACTCTCTTCAAGAAAACAAGGAACATTAACAGGGAATAGCAGCTATGATGAACTAGAAAACTTGCAAGGAATCCTGATGATAAATGAATACCCACTCAAATTTATTGATGAGAATCTAAAGCCGGAAAACACCACAGAACGTGTGCATACTGCTTCGAGAAAGATTTACTGTTGACCCTCGAATTCGAGGGAGATAACGTGATAAATATTCTTAGAAAGAGACTATCAAGGTTCATACACAGAACATTGTCTACTGACAAACATTCTCCTACCAGAAACTGATTCTTCAGCATGTGTAGGATAAGCTGGAGCATTGGGCCACATCAATGTGTATGTCTGTCAGTTTACTTGCCCCTGTGGAGCCGAATATATAATGTGGACCATGCGCCAGCTTATGCCACGCACTGGCGAACAATATTCAATTAACTGATAGGAGAACGCATCATAATTTCTGTAACAGAACAATCAAGACATTTGATTTCTTTTGATAGGTCCTTCAAATTTTGCACAAAATACCACTAAGCAACTCGAGAGGGGTGAGGCTGAGACATCTGAGTGTAGCTGAAGCATAAGCAATCACAAATTTCAAATCATCATTTTGTGTTCAAAAGAAGTATGTACAATCTCCTTTTCCGTAGTCACCGTAGATTAGCAATCACTCCAAATAACCCACATATGACATAACCAATTTCATTTTGTAATGATTTTCGTCACTTCCCCACTTCTGACCAGAAGTTACTCTGGAATGTTCTATCCCTTTTAACCATTTATGTACGAAGGAATGTACAGCTAAGAGAATGATTTTGCCGTAAGGAAAATCTTTTCTTCTCTCCAATCGTCTTCTGTGTTTCCCCACAAACAGGAATTATCGGTCATACAAATCAGTTAGTACCACCAAAATACATATAATAAAGCAAATTATGAGTAATCATCGAGAATTCATCAGGAACATTGGTCCAAGACATCACTTGCGAAAAACGAGTATTGATTATTATAAATTGACTGTCTCCTCGAATACAAAGTGTCCTAGATAACTAAAATTCCATAATTCAACCTCAATAACATTCTATGGTGCAATAGAATATGCAGACAACAAATTACAAGATTAAGTGACGACTCAAATTTCACTGGTTATGATTTTAGTTGAGAAGGAGTCTATGTCGCAACATGATTGAAACCAGTGATGTCTTGACTACGCTTAAATCGAGATGCAGACTGGTAAGGGAAAGCATCAAACACCGAGTGTTAGATGCAACAGTTATGCAGATGAGAGATAAGCAATTCTCCTGATTTCATCACAAACAAGAAGTCTATCACTCACTGATGTCTGAGTGAATGGGGGAGAATATTCTCCGTGCTGGTATTCGTTAATAGTTGGTTTAGGCTGATGGAGTAGGGAACTGGTAGCCAGATGCTTGTAGGCCAAACT